AACCTCAGCGGCCACACTGAGTACCCTGAGAACTGGTGTCTGGGAAAATGGACTGAGACAGTGTCTCAAAGTGAGGTTCATACATTTTCAGGGCTGGAGATGGGGCTCAATATGGAGAGCACGTGCCTAGGTTTCATGAAGCCCTATGTTTGACTTTCAGAACCATATAAACCAGGAGTGAAGTCATAGGCTACACACACAGAACTTGGTAGGTGGAGACAGGAGAATTAGGAGTTCAAGGTCATCTTTGGCTCCATAGCAAGTGTGAGGCCAGCCTGAGCTATGGGAGAGACACGTCTGGAAATAAAAAAAAGTTCAGAGCTACACTGCATCTCAAATGCTGTGTCTCCTGGAAGAACTGATTTTATTTTTGTTTCTTTTTGTTGCCTTGCCCTTCTCTTTGTTTCGTTTGAGACAAAGTCTAACTATACAGCCCAATCTGGCCTCAATCTTAGGACCCTCCTGCCTCTGCTCTCAAGTACAGGCACAGTCTACCATATCCACTTTACCCCCCCTCCCCCAACACACTTTTTTTTCTCTTCAGTCCTGGAGATTGAACCCAGGACTCCCCCATGACGAGTAAGTACTCCACCACTGAGTTACACCCTCAGCTCCTGGAATAACTATTTTACAACAGAATCGCCCAGATCTAGTGAATCCTGAGCAAGCATGTGAAGGGCTCTGCTGAAGACAGATTCCTGGTAATAGGAATAAATTGATGGAACGGCTGAGCCATCCTCAGACACAGGCTGGAACTGAAGCTCTTTTCCTTTGCTGCCTAGGCCCTCGCCATGTTTATTTCACAGCATGTTTTATGAAATCCTGTCTCGTGTGGAAACATTCCGTTGGGAGTAAACAGACCATTGAAACTTTGGGGAAGAACATCTAGGGTTTATACTACAGGAAAGGCCACCAGAGGTCCTCAGTTTGCTCTGCATACAGGCCGATTTTGTAGGACATTTGCGGAATCTTTTCAAACGTCTGCGCATCATTGTCTTCCATATCTTTGGCTTAATTTCTTATTTAGGTCTCATGTCTGATAAAGATACATGACACCCCTGTGAAATTTAAATTGGAAAGAAAAAGAAACCAAATTGCACGGACCATGACAGTTTTAAAACCCCAGGGGCCGATTATATTTGATTAGCGCTCAAAAGTGGTTATTTGTGCTGTGCAGATTTCACGGTCTGAAGACTAGAACATCTTGCTGTGTATACAGCTTTGCCAGGGTCTGAGCCTGTCTTCCAGATGGGCCAGGACTCCAGGCAAGTTCCCTCCCAAGGTGGCTCTCTCTTCACAGCCAACCCCACCACATCCCGGTTATCGGAAACTCCCAGAGAGGTGACAGTTCTTGAGCAGTGACTAGCCCAGGGGTTCTTAACTATCTAGTTCTTGCCCCGCCCCCACCCCAGCCCCATTTAACCTTGTAAACCATCCTCTCTTTAAACATTCATTAGGTTTCTTAGATAAAGTTACCTCTTCTCCAGATAGAATCCCATTTTTATGAAATTAATAGGCAATTCGCTCTTCCTCTTTGCAGATTCTGAGACATGGCAGGAGTTAGTCATTTGAAGGGAAGGATATGTCAGTGCATCCTTAAAGCTTCAGGAGCCAAGAATAAGGCAGATGCTACTTTCAACATGCATACCCATGTGGGATGGGACCCAGAACAATGGACAGCCAACCATGGGTTCAATTCCCAGGGTAGCCTTTGTATTGCAGCATTAAACATCAGAGACAGGCCGGAGGATGGTCGTGCTGCCTCAGTATCCACTCTTTGTTCATCGTTATTGCGGCTGGATGCAGCTCGTGGACCAGAAGAGACAGGAAGGGTGTTTGAAGAGAGAGAGGGGGATCCAAACTCTTGTGATAGAGCCCAGTCTGGCTGGGAATACATGAACCTCCTATCTAAGCCTCCTGGCTGCTGGGGTTACAGGTGTGTACCACCGCGCCTGGAAACAACAGTCTTAAAGTTCATGCACCAACAAAGTACGAGATTACTGCACATCATGACAATTTAATTCTCTAAGGAAATAAAACTAACACATGGGCCGGGCGGTGGTGGCACATGCCTTTAATCCCAGCATTCAGGAGGCAGAGCCAGGCGGATCTCTGTGAGTTTGAGGCCAGCCTGGTCTACAGAGTGAGATCCAGGACAGGCACCAAACTACACAGAGAAACCCTGTCTGGTGGAGGGGGACCCAAAAACTAACACATGTTAAACCTCAGAATGGTAAGAACCTGTTATATATGGTTGTTAAAGCAAGGGCAGAGACTGGGTGTGGAGGTTCAGGCCTTTAATGCCAGAACACACATCTCACTAAGTAAATAATAAAGGAAATAAAGGTTTTGTTGCTAGAGTTTTTCTGCCTGGCCCACAGTCAGGGCAAATCTCTCTCACCCGCCGGTCCCAAGCCGCTCAAACCCGATCAAGTAAACACAGAGACTTATTTTGGTTACAAACTGTATGGCCGTGGCAGGCTTCTTGCTAACTGTTCTTACAGCTTAAATTAATCCATTTCTATTAATCTATACCTTGCCACGTGGCTTGTGGCTTACCGGTACTTTACATCTTCCTTGTCCTGATGGCGGCTCGCAGTGTCTCCCCTCCCAGCTTCCTGTTCTCTCAATTTTCCTCTCTGTTAGTCCCGCCTATACTTCCTGCCTGGCCACTGCCAATCAGTGATTTATTCATTGACCAATCAGCAACACATTTGACATACAGACCATCCCACAACAAGGTTTAACACTGTGTTTTAATTTTTTATCTTTTTGTTGTGGTGGAGACAGGCCCAGATTGATCTCAGTTTTACTATGTGACTTATATGATGTCTGTGTGAAGGTGCATGTGGGCACTGCAATCCTGTGGGAGCTTTGTTTGAGGCAGGGTCTCATGTATGCCACACTGGCCATGAACTCACTGTGTAGTCAAGTCTGGCTGTGAGCTTCCCATCCTCCTGCCTCATCTCCCAAGTGCTGGGATTATAAGTGTGCATAGCCACACCTAGATTCTTATTCAGGACATTTTAGGTACTGTGTGGATTTTGTGTGTTTCTCTCTCATAGAGCACAGAGTTTTCTTTTTAAATTAATTAGTAATTTTCTTCCTATTTAGAATTGTGTTTACTTATTGCACGTGTATGGGAATGGGGCTCACAAGCCATGATGTTTATGAGGTCATGGACAGCTTTGAATTGGTTTTCTCTCTTTTTTTTTTTTGGTTTTTTCGAGACAGGGTTTCTCTGTGTAGCTTTGCGCCTCTTCTAGAACTCACTTGGTAGCCCAGGCTGGCCTCGAACTCACAGAGATCCGCCTAGCTCTGCCTCCCGAGTGCTGGGATTAAAGGCGTGCGCCACCACTGCCCAGCCGGCCGGTTTTCTCTTCTATCGTGAGTTCCAGGGACCCAACTCATTAGTGTTGGCTGAAAAGGTAATAACTGCACAGGGATGTTTATTCTGAATTTTTTTCTAGCCATCAAAGATAGTTGTTAGGGGAGACTAGGCATAAATAGGGACAAAGAATCTATGTTGATTCCCTATATTTTGCTGGTAAAGCATAATTTCCTTGCCACAATCTTGCATTTTTCCTTGTTAATTGTTATCCCCCCTATTATTTTAAATAGGGTCTCACTGTGCAGCCCAGGTTGCCCTCAAACTTACAATCCTCCTGCCTCAGCCTCCTGAATACTGAGATTACAGATGATTGTCACTTTGCCTGGCATCAGATACGAGTCTATTTTGTCACCTTCTTTCACAATTTTGGGGAGCAGCATCACACACATACAAAAACTAGAAAACCCTAACTGTTGGCATCCATCATCGAGAATGGACTACCTCTCAATACTCAAGCAGTTCCCAGGTGTCAATTACTAGAAGTCTGTACAGTTTTAGAGTCTATGTTGCCAAGGTCGTGAGGAAAGGAGACTAGGGTGGCGGGGCCATTCCTGCCGCCTTCAGCCTCTGCGCCCCTCGCAGAGCTGCTTCCCACGTTGGGCCCGAGTATCCGGAGGTTCACCACCTCTGTGGTCCGTCACAGCCACTATGAGGAGGGTCCAGAGAAGAATTTGCCATTTTTAGTGGGAAACACGTGGCTTTGATGGCTTTTGGATCTGGATTTGCTGCCTCTTTCTTTAGTGTAAGGCACCAGCTACTTAAAAAATAAGGATGTTTAATTCACCCTTTTAACAGAGGAAGACTGTTTAAGAGATGTGATCTGAAAACTGGATTAAACTCTTGAACTCTTATACAGATAAGATTGTAAATAAACTGATGGCATTAAAAAAAAAAAAAGAGAGAGAGTCTGTGTTCCCGGAGCATTTGATCCTTGAGGCATCAATTTATTTTCAGAGTGACTTCTTCATAGTCCTCATCTGCATTTTAAGATCCTTTATGAAAATCACTCAGAGGAGATCACACATAGTCCAAATCCCACCAAGTCCTCTCACACACAAATATATACATATACATAAAAACACGACAGTGAAAACGTACAGCACACGCCTGCATGTTAATGCTTTTGAGAGAGAGGCTTGTGGTCGCTCAGACTCCCTCATCAGGACAGCCTACCATCAATCCATGACCTCAGGGGAAAGTCAGCCTCAAAGGAAGAGAGCAGAAAAATCCATCACTGATACCCCTGACAATTCAAATGCATGAAAACACAGAGGGTGGGTGTAACAAACCGTGTGATAGTCTCCATATGCTTTTCTAAGCATATAAATATATACCTTCTGTTTCCATCCTGCTTCAACTATGGTCTGAAGTCCTGAAGTTCTGCTGTTCCCCAGTAGATGGCGATGCTGAACTCAAAACTGCCATCAGCACTCTGGAGGGTCCACGCTATTTTGCATCGCAAGTATTTTTTTAAAAGTCATATAATTTTCCCCTACACTCTATGAAAGTGAGTATTTAAGAAGAAAAACAGGTACTTGAAGGATTGTTTTTCTATCCACTGTTTTCAGTCGAGGAATTTCATCACATGTGACGTTCCAGGAGGTTGCTATCAAAGTCCCAAAATACGAAATGCATCTCGCAAGTCATCGACTTCATACAAGGGCTGCGGAGAAAGAGATGTAAAATGAGTGAATGGCTTCGAAATTGAGCTGGGAGGGAAGGCGTCTAAACCAAGCGGGTGCCTTGAGAGGAAAGTAAATTGGGACCAGGACCAGGAAAAAGAAGGGGAAATTCTGGCCTGGTAGGAACCCCGTCTGAGGGGAGGTTAACAAAAGGAAGACTTGTGAAGAAATCGGTGAAGAGAAGGCAAGAGGACGGAGTCTGAGTGGGGGCTCTGCCCTGGGGAAAGACAGAAAAGAAAACTGGATTTAGGAGCCCTCAAATAGTCACCATATGAAAAATGGGTGATACAAATGAATATCTAAGCGGCTCCAGTCATGGGGGGGGGGGGGTAGAGGAGTGGGGAGGAGAGGAGAGCAGAGCAGAGCAGAGCACAGCACGGCAGAGCAGAGCAGAGGAGATACTCTTACCAAAAGGATGCGCCGGAGCTGTCTGGTTAGACGGACAGAATTTTCATGCAGTCCCTCCCAGGCTTTGAAAGTTCTTTCATGATTTTCTACAAATGTATTCCAGCAGTAAAAATAGTCTTAGAAGAAAAAAATAATAAATAGGTAAGAAGGAGGTGTGTGTGCGCGCACGCATGCACATAACCACAGTGCGTGGCTGAAGGTCAGAGGACAGTTCTTGAGACTTGCTTCTCTTCCACCATGTGGGTTCCAGGGATCGAACTTAAGTCATCAAGGCAAGTACCCCTCTGAGCCATCTATCTGGCCCTCTTTATTATTGCTGTTACTATTATTCTCATTAATTTCGGGCTGGAGGGATAGCTCAGCCGTTAAAGGCCAGGCTCACAATCATTAATTTCATTATTATTTGTCTGATAAGGGCGGGACGCAGGGATCTGTACATGCTGGACCAGAGTTCTGTCGCTGAGCGCACCCGCAGCCCTCCAGCTTCTGTTCCTCAAATTCTGACCATTCTGAGACTGGTGCATACTCGTAATTCTAGCTCTCAGAAGGCAGAGGCCAGAGAGTCGCAAGCTGAAGGCCAACCTGGGATAGTGAGACCCTGTCTCAAAAAACAAAGTAGTGCTTTTGACATCGAAGAGGAATTGAGAGCCCTTACGGAGCCCTCTGCCTCCCCCCCCCCCCGACCCCCAACCCCACCCCGCTGACGATCCTCACTCTGAGCTTCAATTCCGACCGCCTTCTCCGGTGCACAACGCTCACCTTTGAAGGTCATGATCCCGATCTGGACCCCGGCGCGGTGCAGTCTCCGCAGCCCCTCAGGCTCAGCCTTGCGGTCTTCGCAGAAGTAGAGGCGCGCGGTGAAAATCCTCAGGCTGAGGTTGGGGTTCCATCTCAGAAACTCAGCCACGTGCCGGGCGCAGTCGTAGCAGGGGCTCCAGGAGGTGAACCAGGTGACGCGGTAACACCGGCCGGGGTCCAGGTCCCAGTCCGAGATGTAGCGTAGGAACAACAATTCCACGTGGCAGCCCAACTGGAGAGAGACAGAGAGCGCCGGTGTCGTGACAGGCATGCCCTCCCACCCAGGGCCATTGGGGACGCTTGCGGGGGGGATGTTGCAGCTGGCTGGCCTGGAACTCAGAGATCCTCCTGCCTCTGCCTCCAGAGTGTTGTGCTGGGGTCAAAGGCGTGCAGCAAACTGTTAAGAGAGCTCTCGCTGGAGTCAAATCTGTTTATTACACTGGCCCTGCTGGGTAAAGGAAGGCTGAGGATGTATGGGGACCAAGGACGATGAAATCAGTTGCAGGGATTGCCTCTGTGTGTATAACTGCACCTTGACCACTAGGTGGCGCCAGGACAATTTGTAAGGAGGGTTAGAACAGTGCCTGGAGGTAAAGCTTATTTTGAGAGGTTAGAGTCTTATCTTGGCGTACCAGTTGGGAGCAATTACATAATGTGTGCGTGTTATGTGGTCACCGTGACTGTGATAATTACAGCCGTAGTAGGTCCACTTCCTATTGCTGAAAATCGTTACTCTAAGACTATGAAGAAAGTTTTTATTTTATTCAACTCTGTTGTTCTATTTCCTTAGCAGTAAATCGAGCTGGTGTCGTAAGCACTGTATGCGAAATAAGAGAAAGGGCCCCTTGATAAAGCCGTCTATAAATAAGGTGGGTCGTGGCTCCAAGTAGGGAAGAGATTGTGTGTAAAATGGTGGTGTTGAGGTAAGCTACCCCATGAAAAGGTAGGCAGAAGAAGCTGCATAATAAATCGCCAACCTCACGGACTCTTGCCTGGGAGTCCTGGAGATGCCCATGGGCATGTGGAAGCCAATCTGCAATTCAGCGAACTCTCGAGGAAACCCAGTTCTCTCAGGCAGCTGAAGGATTGACCCAATTACCCAGCAGGCCGTGGCTTCTCTATGACTCATGAATGAAGCTCACCAGGATAGATGTGTTCCTTGTCCTCTGGTCTTGTGATTAGAAGGAAACGAGATTATTTGGAAAAACAAGAGTTGAGTTGATGTAATTTCTCCTAATTTTTTCCTCCTTGATTTTCAAAATAATTCTAAAGACACGATGTATTTTTCTCACTCAAGAAAGTACTTGAGAAAGAACCCAGCACTGAGGGATTAAAGTGCTGAGGGGCTGGAGGTTGTTAGGGGTGGAGCCCAGGGGTGGGGCACTTGTCTGGCAAGGGCAGGTCCTTCATTTCATCCCTAGCACTGTGAAAATTAAAATTTTGTTTGTTTATTTTTTTCCAAGACAGGGTTTCTCTATGTGTAGCCCTGGCTGCCCTGGAACTCACTCTGTAGACCAGACTGGCCTTGAACTCAGAGATCTGCCTGCCTCTGCCTCCCAAGTGCTGGTATTAAAGGCATGAGCCACCACCACTGGGCTGAAAAATAAAATAAAATAAAATAAAAAGTTTCCTAGCTCAAAATGCTCTTACTTTTTGTTTTTATTTATTTACTTTGGATTTTGCTATTTTTCAACACAGGGTCTCACTATGTAGCCCAGGCTGGCTTGAATTTATGGTAGTTCTCCTGCCTCAGCCTCCCAAGGGCTGGAACTACAGGCATGAACCACCATGTCTGTCTTTTTAACCTTAATGTTTTCTAAAGGTTATTTTTATTTAACGTGTATGGGTATTTTACCTTCATGTGCCTGGCTCTCTCAGAGGCTAGGGGAGACCATTGGGTCCCTTGGAACAGGAGTTATAGTTGGTTGTGAGCTGCCATGTAGGTACTGGGAATCAGGTCCAGGCCCTCCAGAAGAGCAGCAAGTGCTCTTAACCACCAAGCAGCCTCTCCAGCCCTCCTTCCTTCCTTTACTCTTAAAGTAATTCTGAGACTGGGGAGAGACAGGAGAGAGTGGGGACAATTTTTGTCATTGAAGGAAGGCGTGGCATTAGGGTGCCCCGCATGACTGGGGAGGGGACTAACACCCTTCAGACCATGTCTAATCTGGGTGAATAGAATGTGGAAAGGACCTGAGGAAGCGGCTGGAGATGTTAACCAAATAACCTGAATAAGTTCAGTGTGGTGGCACACGCCTGTAATTACAGTGTGCAGAGGCAGGAGGATTGCCAGGGTTGGTCAGCTTGGGAGGATAGGTGTATAGGTGCTTGCTTTCTCTCCCTCTCTCTTCCTCTCCCCTCCCCGCAAATGTTGATAGGAGTGTTGTCCCCCCAGCACTTGGCACCAGGGGCATCCACAGCTGGGTGTCGGCGCCACGCTTAGCCACCAACACCGCTGGTACCTTGTTGCGAAGGTAGCCAAAATCCAGCGAGAAGGAAGTGGCGCTGTCCCTCCGCTTCACCACGTAGCACAGGTAGGTCTCGTGCCGACCCTTAGCCCAGCGGACATTTTTGAAGTGGTAAAGAAACTTCTTTCGCTTCATCAGAACGCTGTGTGAACGAGAGAAGAAATTCAGGGTCCAGCTTCTCTGTCACCATGTTCTTCCTTCAGCTTTATTATTATTATTATTATTATTATTATTATTATTGCTGCTGAAGATTGAACCTAGAGCTGTGTGCGTGCTAGCTAGGTAGTTCACCACTGAGCTGCGCCCCCATACATACTACTGTCATTATTTTTTTTTTAAATTATGATTATTGGAGTTAAAGCAGAAAAGACAGTCTTGCTTCCTTTCCAGATACCTGAGACATGCTCAGCTTAAAATTCATCCGTCTTCTCAGCTTCAAATTGAGACCTATTGGGAGAGCCCTCACCCTATTTAGGTCCCCACGACAGCTGCCTTCTGCAACTGTCTTTAGCTGAGGATGACATAAAATGATCTGGTCTTCGGTCTTATCATTGTATTTTCAGCTTTTCCTCCTGTCTCCACCTCCGTATTCTACGTGGATCTCAAACTCCACATGGTCAAGAAGCAGTCCTCACACACCCATGGCCTGCCCCCTCCCCTCCCCACAGTAGTCAAACTAGATAGTCGGTTGCCCATGATTAGTCCTTCCTCCACTTCCATACTTAATTAATCGTGTAAATTTGTAATTTCTGCTGTGGGGGGGTAGTGGTGCATGCACTGGGAAGGCAGAGGCAGGTGGATCTCTGCGTTCCAGGCCAGGCTGGACTACACAGGGAGTTCCAGGACAGCCAGGGCTATACAGAGAAGCGCTGTCTCAAAAAACTAACAACAAAATAAAAATGCACGTTCTATTGTGTCTCAGAAAAAGTATGGGGCTTTGACATTCTGAAAACTTCTGCCCTCCTGTCTCCCGGCTATCCCAAGAGCATCACAGAACCAGAACTCTTGTCTCCCGGCTACCCTAAGAGCATCATAGAACTAGAACCTTCCCAAAGCAAGTTATGAAGCCTGGCGAGGGCAGGTAAAGTCACTCCTGCCTGTACCCTCAGTACATGGGAGAATTGCTCTAGGTGTGAGCCCAGCCTGGGCTCTACAGTAAGGGACAGCATAGCAGTACAGCAGTTGCCTACCGTGTATGAGTCCCTGGATCCAATCCCCAGCACCACAAAACAAAAGGGAACCTAGAGAGGTCACTCTCAGCCTGGCATACTGGCAGACAAGTCCAATTCCAGAATTTGAGCAGAGAGGAAGGAAGAGCAGGAGTTCAAAGCCAGCCTGAGGAAAGAAGTCATTCTCTTCCTTGAAGACCCTCATTCTATGGGAGTCCTGTCCTCCATCCAGGGAAAGGAAATATGCTTGCAAGTCATGCCAACTTGCAAGCATATTTCTGCACAGTACCCATTTTTCATTGAACAGAAGCATAATAAAGATCCCCTTGTGTCTTTAAAAAGTTACATCTAGGGCCTGGAGAGATGGCTCAGCGGTTAAGAGCACTGGCTGTTCTTCTAGAGGTCCTGAGTTCAATTCACAGCAACCACATGGTGGCTCACAACCATCTATAATAAGATCTGGTGCCCTCCTCTGGCCTGCAAGCATGCATGTAGGCAGAATACTGTATACCTAATAAATAAATCAATCTTAAAAAAAAAAAAGATAAAAAAGCTACATCTAGTTATTATTGTCACGTGCATCTTGTGTGCATACGGACACATGCATGCATGTGGAGGCCAGAGGGTAACTTGGAGAGGCTGGCTCTCTGCTTCCATCTTGTGAGGTCCAGGGGTCACACTGAAGTTGCCAGGTTTGGCAGCAAGCACCTTCGCCTGGAAGCTGTCGCGACAGCCCTCCCTTGGCCTTGGGTCTTCATTCCTGGATTTCCTTTGGTCAGCTTTGCTGATTTTACTTTATGGATTTATTTTTGTTGTTTGTTTTGAGACAAGATCTCACACAGCTTCGGCGGGTAGAGAGCTTGACGGGGATGACTCTCCTGCCTCCACTCCCCGGTGCTGGGATGGCAGGTGTGCTCCACCGACTTGTGTTGGTGCAGTGCTGGGGACTTAACTCAGAGCTCTGTGCACGGTAGCAAGTTCTCTACTAACCGAGCTACGTCTCCAGCCCCGGAGTTTCTCTCTTTTTTAAAAATAATAGCCGGGCGGTGGTGGTGCACGAGCCGGGCGGTGGGGGCACACGCCTTTAATCCCAGCACTCGGGAGGCAGAGCCAGGCGGATCTCTGTGAGTTCGAGGCCAGCCTGGGCTACCAAGTGAGTTCCAGGAAAAGGCGCAAAGCTACACAGAGAAACCCTGTCTCGAAAAACCAAAAAAAAAAAAAAAAAAAAAAAAAAAAAATCTTTGTGGGGGCTAGAGAGGGGGCTCAGCAGTGAAGAGCATGTACTGCTCTTCCAGAAGACCTGAGTGCTAGACCCAGCACCCACATCAGGTGGCTCACAAACACCTGTCACTCCAGTTCCAAGGGATCCAACACCTCTGGCTTCTGAGGGCACCTGCACTAACACACACACACACACACACACACACACACACACACGCACACACGCACACAGGAGAGAGACAAAAATAATATTTAAAAATCTCTCTCTCTATATATAATACATATATACATACATACACACATTTTATATATATATATGTGTGTGTGTGTGTGTGTGTGTGTGTGTGTGTGTGTGTGTGTGTGTGGCAGGTAGGTCAACCCACGCCATAGCACGTGTGTGGAGATCAGAGTACACCCTTGGGTGTTGGTCCTTGACTTCCATCTTATCTGAGGCAGGATCGCTTGTTCACTGCTGTGCGCCCCAGGCTAACTGGCTCACAAGCTTCTCCTCTCTCTACCTCCCATCTTGCCTTAGAAGCACTGGGATTACAGTCGTCTGCTTTGGGAGAGCTAAACCCCACGTCATGCTTTCATGGCGAGCGCTGCTCCCACAGAGCCGTCTTCCTAGCCCACAAGTTTCTTTAACGAATTTAAAGTCCCTGTTAACGCTGTGGACATAGTAACTCGAGCCAGGAGGTAAAACTGAGTGGTAAAAACCAGTGTCCCTCACTTGTAGGGACAGCACTGCCACACAGTGGTGCCGGGTGGAAGTGCAGAGAATTTGTTCAAAAAAAAAAAAAAAAAAAAGCTCGTTAGGAATTTGAATACGGTTTTGATGCCAGAGAATTGAAACCTTTTTTCACTTTTTTTGGTTGTTGTTGAGATGTAATTTACATACTAAACTCCTCTCACTTAAAATCTACAGCTCTTTGAATGAATGCTGACACTTCCGCACCCCAGACTGCCAGCGTGATGAGCGTGGCCGGCATTTCTAGGCTGCTTAAGTTTCTTCATTTCTACTTGCTGGTATTTCTCCTCCTACCCAGGCAACCGCTGACCCGCTTTCTGTAAATGTAAATTATTCCAATTTTCTGTAATTTCGTATAAATCCCATTCCCTCCTTCCTGTGTGACTTCGCTCACTGAACATAATGAATTTGATATCCATCCAAGTATTAGTAGTTGCTTCCTTTTTCCTGTTGAGTAATATTCTATTGTGTGGGTATAGCATGTTTTCTTCATTCATGTGCTGATTGACATTGGGTACGGACCGCTTTGGTGCTGTGGTGGAAAGAACTGCTATGAATATTCACGAACCATCATTGATTGCATGTAGTTGACAGCTCACATTTCAATAATGCAGTACAAGTCCCTGACTTTTGGGGAAAAAATTCTTGTGAGATATGGTCTTGCTGTGTAACCCATGCTGACCAGGAAATCTCTATGTAGCTGCAGCTGGCCTCCAACTCCAGATCCTCCTGTCTTAGCCTCTAACAATAGTAGCTTTATTCTGAAATAATAATTTACTATGATAGTCTACTGTTTATCACCAGCTATAAAACCCCTTAACAGCCGGGCATGGTGGTCCCACACCTTTAATCCCAGAATTTGGGGAAGCTGAGGCAGGTGGATCTTTGTGTATTGGAGGCTAGCCTGGTTTACATGGAGAATTCAAAGCCAGCCAGGCTTTGCAGTGAGACCCTGTCTCACAACAACAACAGCAACAGTAACAACAATAAACACGAGCGAGTGAGGCTAAGCTCAGCAAATGGCAAGCACAGGGAGAAATGCACGTATCTCTCGTATCCAGCACCGTCAGCATCATCTCACAGCAACCAACCCCTTTTTATATTTAACTAAACTTTCTGTGCTATCTAGATGGGAAAAGTGGGAAAACCCGTTCAGCGGATTGAGCCTGGACCCTTGTACATGCTATCGAGTGCTGTACCACCGACTCACAGCCCTGGAAAACTCGTTTTTCCCACATACTGTGGGTAGCCTGTGTATGTACGTGTGTCTGTGTATGTTTATGTGTGCGTGTGTAAGTATGTGTGTGTGTGTGTGTTTGGGGGCTGCTATTATGAAAAAGGAGAGGTATCCTGGGAGTTTAGAAAAGAAGGATGTCACCCAAGTGAAAAAATTATGTCCGAACCACAGGAAGATATGCTAGGCCATTTCTGTTTTTGGATTCCAGCCACGGGGAGTGGAACTGCACAGTCCTGACCTGCTGATGGCGAGCGTTGGTCCACCACTCCCCTCAACTCCAGCTACAGCCTGTTTCCAGCTCCCTCTTCTCAGGGTGTCCCTGCCAGGTAGGGGGGACTTTGCCTGTAGATTGACAGCTGCTGAGACAGCTGTGCTCCTTGAGGCGGAACGCGAGCGGCTTCCCCCGCAAAGCAAACCAAAGACAAGGGGTTAAAAATAATCCCAGCAGAGTCCCGGGCTGCCATCGCTGATGGCTCTGCAGACACGCTCAGTGGAAGAGACGCACGCTGCCCTGGGCGCCGTTCGGTGCGGTCTCTCCATTTTCTCATTTGTTTTCCCTGGCTTTCGGTCTTGCCTTGTCTTTGCATTTTGCTGTGCATGTACGTTTATTTCTCTCAGACCCTTCCCCATCAGGGCCTAGACTTCAGATTTGTTTTCAAAACCTTACTATAAACTCACGAAGTAGTACTGTCTGCCCCCTGGAAACGTTTCTTTGAGGGCTAGGGATGCAGTCCAGTGACAGAGCACTCGTCTAGCATGTGCAAGCAAGGTCCTCAATGTGGTCTTAATAAGGACAAGGGGGAGTGGGAAGGGGAGGAGGAGGGAGGGGAGAAAAGAAATACAAAAAAGAAGAAAAGAAGAAAAGAAAGGGGAAAAACTGGAATCTGAAGAGCATCCACACTATCACTAAATATATTGATTAGCTCTCTATTCTAAACATTATAATCAAAGTGGAATTGAGCTCAGGTATGTGGGTTGGGCATGGGTCCCTGACCCTGGCAGTAAATGTAGGAAAACAAGAGAGAAACGACTGATAACAGCTCCTCAGGAACTGCATGTCAGAGCCCCGAAAAACTTCCAAAAAGTTAAGACATCTCTGCACAGATTAATTAAGCAGTAAAAATGCCACTAAGTGCCTAACAGTTGAGCCTATAACACTAAATCGCCTGTTTTAATGAAATTCTCTCCTTACAATAGACACCATCGTAATGAGTGGCAAGCAATCAACTCAAAGGTTTGGTGTTTTTAAGAGGCACAAATTTCCTTACTATAGCTAAATAATTCCAGTAAAGACTCCCCGTGTGAGTCTTAAAATGTTGACTATTCGCCAAATAATTATGAAAATAACCACTCCTGTTTTTAGTAAGGCATTGCTATGACCTCTTCATTCTGTGAGTCCCTAAGGGTTCGCTGTTATTGCTGTGGGGTCCACAGCTCCAGCGCTGTCCAAATCTCAGGGTGAGCCACGACTTCCTGTCTCCTTTGCAACATGGAGAAGAGAGAATTGGAGAGAAGTGTGGAGAGTTAGGTCCAGAATGCAAAAGACCTGAGCAGAGTTTGATTAGATAGATCCAGGATAGAAAAAGCTCACACTGACAGGCAAAGCCTGCCAGACAGACAGTAGAACAGGGGCACACACACACACACACACACACACACACACACACACACACACACACGAGACTGCCTTGTTACCTGTCCATATCGGTCTCCAGCGTGACTTTCTTGACTCCCTCAAAGTCTTCGGCCAAAGGAAGCTTGCTTCAAGCAAGGCTGCTTCAATGCCGTTGTGTGACAGAGCACTGGCCCCTGGCATTCAAATCTGAGCTCACCCCTGTGGGCCCCTCCCCCAACAGCATCACTGCCACCAGGTATCCAACATCTGCCTCTTGGGTTGGGTCCAGAGAAGATGGGCGGGGCTGTGGTAGGCGGAGCCACATGGAGAATGATTCAGGGCCGTTCTGCTTACTCCTCCTTTGAGGCTGTTCCTCCAAAGAGCCAGCCCAGGCACCACAGGTAACAAAGATCAAGAGACAACAGCAGTGGACACTTCTCAAAATGTCATCATGTTAATAAGAAGTATCTGTGTGTGTGTGTGTGTGTGTGTGTGTGTGTGTGTGTGTGTGTGTGTGCATGCATGTGTGATCCTGAGTATTAAACCTAAGGCCTTGTGCATGCTTCCCAGTTTTAAAATTATGATAATAATAGTAATGACAATCGTCATATTTACTTAAAGTGGCGTTCAATGGCATTTCGGTAGCATCTTGTGCTCCATAAACAGCTAGTTCCATGCAGTTTTGGGTCTCAGTAGAGATGGGTGCTGACAGCGCCCCCTCCTGGTTGAGCAAGTAAACTCAGTCACACAGCATCCAAAGAATGAGCTTTGGCCTTCCCACCCACCGCTGGTTCTCTTTTTTAAAATCACATTACAAGAAAGACAGAAAGACTAGTTGCTTGCACCAAAGAGTGATTCCCCCCCCCCCCCCGAGATCTGCCTGCCTCTGCCTTCCTAGTGTTGAGATTAAAGGCATATGCCACCACTACCTGGTCAAAGAGTGATTTTGAAATGAACCATTTTTTCTCATTAAAAATATATTGCTGGGGGTCACAATTAAGAGCACTTGCTTCTATTGCAGAGGACCCAGGTTCAGTTCCCAACAAGTGGTTGTGAGCTACCATGTGGGTGCTAGGAAGTGAATCCCGGTCATCTGGAAGAGCAGCAAATGTTATCTCTCTCCCCTCCCCTCCCCCTCCCCTCCCCTCCCCTCCCCTCCCCTCCCTTTCCTCTCCCCTCCTTCCCTCCCTCTCTCTCTCCCTCCCCCTCTTCCTTCCTTCCTTCCTTCCTTCCTTTCTTTCTTTCAAGACAAGTTCTCACCATGTAGCTCTGACTGGTCTGGAACTTTCTATCAGACCAGGCCAGCCTTGATCGCACAGAGACTGGATCCTATCGAGTGCGCACAGCACACACCCCTGCCCCTACACCTCTGGCTGTTGCCTACGAAACCTCTCCCTGCATAATCTCACAGTACAGTCCCTCCTGTGTTCCATGTCTTTCTTCAGACACTCCCCAGCAGCTGAGACTCTCCTGAATATCATGTTTGAGATGTTAACGAGCCCCATCCTGCTTCTTCCTCCCACTCTAGTTCAGTTATTCTCCTCATCATTTATCACTTTAAGAGACAGTCTTCCACTCACTGACGAGTTAATGAATTCCTGAGTAGCACATTCCGGGCACCAGCAGCAGACAGCGTCACTGTGACATTACATTGAGGGGACCCTGGTGACAGGCAGGCATGTGAGAAGATCCAGTTTCCTAACTTGTCTCCTCAGACGAGGCGTGCCTGGGCCTTTGCCCTGCTTTCAGTCAACCGTCCAGGGAACGACATCCCGAGAAAACACGATGCACACCCTCCCAGAGGCCACCTTAACTGTCCTTTATGGTGTCATTTCTTTACATTAAAAAAATTGATTTGTGTATTTTTGTCGAGTTTGGTGGTGGAGGGGTGTGTGGGGCACAAGTGTCAGAGCATGTGTGGAGAAGTCAGAGACCATTTACAAGAGTTCATCCTGCCCTTCCACCATGTGGGTCCTGGGGGTCCAACTCAAGTAGTCAGGCTTGGCAGCAAGCCCCTTCATCCACTGAGCCAGCATGTCTGTCCAGATGACATCATTTCTAAAAAAAAAAAAAAAAGATATTCCAGGCCAGCCAAGGGCTACATGGTGAAACCCTGTCTCAAAACAACCTGTCTCAAAACAGCAAATGAACAAGCGACCCCGCCCCCATGACAACATCAGACGGTCTGGTGGTTCAAGCTCAGGACCCTAGCACTCTGAAGGTTAAAGCAGGGGGATTCCTGAAAGTTTGAGACCAGCCTGGGCTACATGGCTAGCTCTAGGCCAACCTTGGAACCCTGCTAAAAATAAAAACAAATAAAAAGAGGAAATGTTTTCTTGTCTCCAAGGAGAGGCTCCACACCACTGCAGCTTGCTCTGCACGTGGCTGC